TGCACCGTATTTTATTTTTAGTGGAGAGGTTGTTCTTCAGAGAAGGAGTAGATTTTATTCTCCCTTTGCATATGGCAGAGGTTTGTGTTAAATGATATTAAGTTATGGTATATTTTTTGTCTAGCCTCCTGCAAATCTTTAGGATGTCACGCTGCCATAAGATCAATGTGGATGTTTGTAGGGGTACCCTCCAAATGATCATATGGCAAATACTGGGGGAGTTGTAACGGGGGACTGGGATTCCTGAGGGACTCATGGCCTATTCCTCTCCCTCTCTCTGCAGAACCACCCAGCTGTGGCCACACTCAGTACCGCCCCATGGAGGAGAGGCCACATGGTGTCCCCTGCCCCTGCCTCACTCTGCGGTTGATTTTTTTTTTTCTGGTTTATTGAAAAATGCAGGGAGATGCGTGCACACACACATATTTTTCAACCTGATTCTGAGCTCACTGCTCTTAGGCTATTCTATACATAAATTGCTAAAATCTGTCACTATGTTCACTTTATTTTGCCTATATTTCTATGCAATAGACATAAAGGATGTTAAAATTGGCCTAGCAGTCCATCCAATACAATGAACTCCCAAGCACCTCCCCAAACATTAGTACATTAGCAGCTACAGCTTTAAAATATTAGTAGAAAATCTTTAATATTATCATTTAACATTAATATTAGACAAGATCTTAAAATATTAGAGCCAGATAAAACAGTATTAACAGGGGTATAGGAGTCATTAAGCAGAATAACCATCACTGACTAAATGGATGCTGAAACTTTAACATGCAAACCAGTGTAGATGATAGGAACTTCACAGAGACGAGAGGATCTTTTCATTTAAAAGGAGGTTGGAGAGACGAAGGTTAGGGATTTGAAAGCTGGTAAATAAAACAACACAGCAGGAAAAGTTATATGGAATGTGCCATCTCATTAGTGGCGATCATGTCCTGTGTTATTTTTCTTAAGCTGAAAAGATAAAACAAGAAGACAGGCAATATTCTGTTGCAAATAAATGGAAATTGGGGCATTTTTTGTATAAATCTAAAGTAGCAGGAGGAAAATATAAATGTGCTCTCAGCACTGGTAGTCCATGTAGGGTAATGGAGGTGCTAAAGTGATTTAACAAGATGGTCTATAGCTTGTGTGCCTTTTTTATGAAACGACAGGCAAAGTTTGGGGAAATTGAGCTTGGCCCCATGGAGGAGGGGGTTCTGCTGGCTCAGGGAGCAGGGGTTTGCTCCTGAGGGTGGCAAGCTGCTGTTCCAGCTCGTATCAGCTCTTTCTGTGAGCACCTGGAGGATTGGGTGCTAAATGAAATGGGGGAAAAAAAAAAACAAGGCCAGCTGTAGACATAAGAACTTTAAGAGCATCAGTACTTGCTTCTAGCTAATCTCTCCTGATGACTCCCGTAAGCAGGCAAGGCTAGTTGTTGCTGTTAATTATTCAAAGCCCCGCACCAGTTTCATAGCTGAGTGGAGTAAGAGGATGTGCAGTGTCCCCATTTCTCAGTCTGGCTGGGGGAAAGGCTTCAAATGGGGTTTCTCCTGCCATTGCTGCCTGACACCCTGTTTTCAGCTGGGAAACATGAGCCTGGGAGGGGCAGCAGCTGACCCCAGTCCTTGGCCATCTGGCACTGTGAAACCTCACCTGTTTCATTAGGGCTTGATGAGCTGAATGCAGGGAAGGGTTCAGTAGCATCCTCCTGCATCATAAAGCAGTGAACGTGCTGACTGGTTTGGGGGACTATGTTCTACATTCTTGTATGTAGAATAATATCCCAAAAGGTGTGAGGTCACATTTTTTAATGCTTCATCACAGGAGGAACGGGAAGGAAAGGCACGTGCTTTGAGGTCCACATCACATCTGTAGTGTCCTCAGGCAATACAACCACCACTGTTTCAGGATTATGCATATTTTTTCTGCTTAATGTTCACATTAAGACACAGGGAGAGTGACTGTGGAGTCATTTGGGTCTTTAGATATATATTCCTCACCTTGTTTGCTGTCCCAGTGATGCTACCAAGGCATTTTAATACATCACACAGTATGATGTAAATCAATTCGAAGAAATAGAAAAATAGTCATAGAAAAAAAGCCTGTTGCAATAGGCGCTCTTGGATTTGTTCTAGAAACAAGGACTGATGATTGAAATAGGCGTATTGTTTACACAACCAAGGTATCTGCCATTATTATAGATTTAGCTTCATTATAGCAAAGACCATATATTTCATTATAACCTTCAGAATTGCTGACTGACTTTTCTGTGAAATTGGGTTTTTGTTTGGAGTCCAGGACTGCTCACACCCATGCAGACAGCTCCTTTAGCTTGAAGCTGGGAAACTAAAGCACTTTTGTGTTACATTTAGAGATAGCTACGCTGTTTGCTGCTTTTGGTCTGCTGGCATTACGGGGTTATTGTGTTATGGTGTCATCAGACTATTCCTGATGTGATTAGCAGCCTTCTGAAGAAGAATAACAACTGTTTATAAAATAACTTTGTGTAAAATAACTTCTACAACATGTAGAGTCTGATGCATTTGGTGGCCACTGACCTCAGTGTGGTTATTTTCAGGAATAGGAGTGCACAGGTACCTAAATATCTACAGGCATTGGCATGCACACTCCCCCAGGGAGGCAGGGAAATATTTTCTTCTTTAAATGAGAGTGTTAATGTTAAGTGTATTCTTAAGCACTATATGAGCTGGGGGGCCAAAGCACACAGTTTATTAAGATATCACAAATCATTGCAAATTATGTAGGGGCTGTATAGTATCGTTTCATTTAATAAAGAAAAAAAAAAATCCTTTATTGCCTCTCCAACCCCTTTATTTATTAATAATCTAGGAAGACGTGATGTTATTAAGATGTGAACAAATTTGGCCTGGATGCCATCCAGCATACCCAGAACTGGTGTTGCACCATAATAACCACTTTTTCTGAACGAAGCAATAAGTCCCAGTCCCATCCCTTGGCTGGTGACTGCTGGAGGAGAGCCCAGGGTGATGGGGAAGGGGAGGGTGGACAGGGACTACACGTAATCCCCAGTAGATATGGCCTTTCAGTGAATAAGATGGATTTCTGATGCTGGTCTCCATGCCATTCATAGTAGTGTTCCCAGTAGTAAAGTTGTGCTTGGACTAAAGAGCCCCCTTCATGCCCCCTGCTTCCTTGCCAAAACTAAGCTCAAATAAAATAAATCATATTTTAGGAAGCTAATTGTACAGCCAAATAACAGAAAGGTATTGAAAAACTCTTGTATGCCTAACATTAAATGAATTTACATTGGCAGTATGGAACACATATACTAAAAATAAATACAGGAACATGGCAAAAGTGTAAGCTATGGAATTTAAACAAAAAATGTAATGCCAAATATTAGTTATGGTATTCAGACTTATTACAGAACTAATACTCTATTACACACAGACTTAAACAGTTTAAATCAGTTCTGAATAAAATTTGCTCTTTTATCATTTGATTGTATTTCTTGGAAAACTGAAACATGTCAGGATAACTTTTTTTTCTCGCTTTCCTTAAGTGTATTACAAAAGGTCTGCACAAGTGCCCTCTCCAGCCTTTGGGCTGGAATATGAAACTGCTTAGCAGTCCCTAGCAAGACCCTGGAAGCAATTTGGCAAGGAAGCGATGCCATCCCAGGGAGGCTGAAGGGGAGTTTCAGCACCAGTTCAATTTCCACTGACGCCCATAGAAATGTTCACACCACCTTCAGCACTGAAGGTGCTGTCACCGAACCTGTCCCTCAAGAAGGGACACGTCATTTGCAGGACTTGAAACCTGGCTGGTTTTGTCATCGCCTTCCTTGCTGTGCAGGAGGTTTTTGGCAGATGTGGGGTTGGGAGCTTTGGGCTGTGTCTCACCTGGTGACAAAGCCAGCAGCAAACCATGGGGCAGGGCTGCGAGGCTGTCCCCCAAGTCACCCACCCTTCATCAGGGGCAGAGCAGATCTAGGCTGGGGGTGATGTCAGCTGGAAAAGCAGGTACAATTTAAACAGAAGCAATCCATTAGGGAAAGAGGGGAAAGAAAAAACACACACAAGAAAAAAAACTTTTGGAGAAGATTTTAAAAGTTTCCTGATGGATCAGCATCCTTGAGATTAAACATTCCCATATGTAAGTTGACATTTGAAAATGTAAGTCTTATGAAAGATAAGAAGGAAATTGTGAGAAATGCAACCTTAAATATTTTGAAGCATGACTTCCTGGATTATGTGGCAGTTGGCAAAACTTTCAGGAGAAAGATGCATGCCTCAAACTGCACATGGTGTGGGGCACTCGTTTGCCTAAAAGTTTCCTCCTGTCACTCAATGTTTTTGTGTTCGAGCCCTTCCACACCTTCAGAGGAGAGCTGCAGTATCCTTTCTGCGTTGCTTTTAATCTCGCAGACAGATGTTTTAGATCAATCGCTCAAAACGGATCAGTTTAGCAGTCAGAAAACACTGTCAGAAAAGATTTGTTGTAGAGAAGACAAAACCGTGAAATAAAATTGAACTTTTATCCCCATTTGGATGGGAACTGTGCTTGGCTGGGGATCCCAAGGGGATGAACACAGTGGCCTATCATGTGTTGAAAAAACAAACAGATGACAGGGCTCCGCAGTAATCAAGCAAACACGGCTTCCGAGAAGCAGTGTGATCATCATTGTTCGGTGCAGTGGGACCTAGGAGGAAGATAATTATTGGGGGAAGGAAGGTGGCCTCGGGACTGCAGTGAGGGAAGCCGCCGTGAGCTCCTGCCAGCTGCGAGCAGCCCATGCCCTGCTTGCAGCGAAGGTGTGACACATACGCAAGGCTTGGCAGAGCAGCCTCATTGAGGAGTGATTAACACACCAGAGGTGGTGGGTGTCAGTATTTCCTGACTGCAGTGGTACATCGTCTTCCCATGTCTAGAAACCCAATGCAAATAGGGTGGTGTGGCTCACGTAGCGGCCACAAGCCCCACGCAGCCCCTTGAAAAGGCAGAGGGGGCTAAACCCAAACCTCCATCCCTTCGGCCACCTCTCCCTAATTATTTGTCAGCAGAAAGCTCAAAATGTATTTTTTCTTCATTTATTTATTTTTTTTTAATTTATTTTTCCCAGAAGGCTGTGTTGTGTCCCGTGGTGGCCTGTTCATATGCTGAGTTGGAGCTCTGTTTGGCACCGTCCTTTGGTCTAATCACATTTTGCTGCAATACCAGGTTTGTAGTGGCAAATCTTCCTACCGAGGACCATGTCTCTGCTCCACTGTCGTTGCTGTGTCCTGCGTGTCTGTGCTGGGGCATGCCGCCTGCTTTTTGGGTGAATTGTACTTTGTTTTGGGAGGTTTTGCGGAGCGGTGCCTTCGCAGGCTCGCCTCCCTCTGTATCCTCTGTGCTGGATGAGTTTGCATTGTGTGGTGTTTTCCTCTTCATTTATTGCAAACAAATCTGGTCTCTGCCATTTGTTTACTCTTATACTCTGTCTTTATGCCTTGGTATGCATTTTTAATTAGATGCGCTTCAGTTCTTTCGCTGCTTGTTAACACTTTCGGATGGGAAGTATGGTCCCCACCAGCCCTGCAAGCATTCTCTCTGCTTAGGAAATGCAGATTTGTTTCTCCTACCCCGATAATTGTCTGGTACAGAGACTTGGTCCCCAGCCCACCTACCTGCTGGGTACAGGCATTCCTGTGGCGGACCCTTAAGGCCATTCCCCTACACAGCCAGGGCAATCTGAGTGCACTTTACTCTGAAATACTCTGCATACAGAGAACTAGTGTTTTGGCTATTTGTCTGGGCTGCTTCCGGGCCTCAGCAGCTCCAGCTCGGATGCCTGACATGGAGAAGTCCTGGACAAAGGCTGCAGTGTGCACAGATCAACTGCGTGCGTTGTCCAAAGCCCCTCTGCAGACAGAGATCAGGAATGTGCTGGGCTTGTGAAGGCATTGGCCACCCATCCGGTGAATGGTGGATGGATGAGCCTGGAGAGGGATCCTGAAGCCCTAAGCACATGACAGCTTTCATAAAAAGACATCTTTCCTGAGTGCCACTATTGTTACAGCATCAAATTACTCTGTTATATTTTTTCTTTTTCTTCTTTTTTTCCTTTTTTTTTTTTTTTTTAATAGTGTGAGCCCATTAGCACTTGTGCTGTTTTCTTCTGCCTCCATATCTGACTCACGCCACAGGCAAAAGACTTCATCCTTGCTAGCTTCTCTCTATACCACCAGCTTTCTGGAGATGGTGTGGGCACTTGGATGGTAAAACTTGACCCCACTCCACCCTTTCCTTCCAGTTTGCCTGCCCCACTGAAGCACTCACTCACTCTCCTGTTTTGTTAGAGTGTGTGAGTTCTCCAGGATTTAAGCCCTGCGAGGGACTGAAGGACTGAAAAGAGGCAAAAATGTCTCTTCCCTTCTCAGACAGTCTTCCCTGACCCCGTTCTTTGGCTGGGGGCAAGGTTGCCAAAGGTCAATATCCACTTCAGTGTGTGGAGAGATCGATATCTGCTGAAGCCGGTGCCTAGGCTTGCTTCCTCTCCCTCGCCAGCACTATATTTCACAGAGAGGAGCCAAGAAATGTTTCTCCTCCCTTCCAAGAAAAAGGGGAAGAAAAAGAAAGGAAAAAAAAAAAAAAAAGAAAAAAGAAAGAAGAAGAAGAAGAAAAAAAGCCTTGTCTCCACACTTACTCCCACCAGGAGGGTATTGTGTTTGGCTTCTGCTCTGCTTTTTGTTATCCATTTGCATGGCATGATGTTTGCTTTGGCTGGCGGGGCAGTGGCCGGCTCCTTGGCCAGAGGAAGGGTCCTGCTGTTACCCAGTGGTGCACGGAGCAGGGATGCTCAGCCCCTGGTCCTGGGTGGTTTTGGGGTGCTGGGATGTGGAGGGTGTCCCAGATGGCAGGGTTTCAGGGTGGCAGCACGCTGGTGGTGGGAGCAAAGAGCTCAGTGCCGAGCCTGCAAAAAAGAAGTCATTCTATGGAGCAGCATCGTGTTGGCAGGGAGATGAAGTGCACGGGCTAATAGGTCTTTTCCACTTTAATTTCTATTCGAAAATGACTCTTTGTTGCTGTTCTCAGACTCAGCGCCAACCGTTCCTTACGCCACACACCAGATCTTTCTTTCTTTTCTGCCCTTCGCTTCACGGAGAAGGCTTTAAAGCAAACAAACACAAAACTGTGAGAAACCGAGGGAAGATATGGACTGGCCCACTCGTTACTGCTGGAATGTGGAAACTATGAAGACATCTTTTTTTATTACCAATGCTGGAAAGCACAGTCACTGAGTGGGCTGGAATACAATTTATACTACATGCAGTAGTTAAAAAAAACTGCAGAAATGGGTGTAACCCTGGGCTGTGGTACAACTGGCCTTTCAGCCCCCACTTGAGATTCCTCCATCCCAGGGGGCAACTGTGGTTTGGAAGAAGAGCGTGCATTTAATTTCACTCAGAGAACTTATTGGAGTTGGCACTTCAAGAAAGACTCTGAAGTATATTTTTTGTCATGATTAGTGGCCCCCTCACCACTACGTTTGATTGTGTTGGAAGCGGAAAAGTTAAATTCTTATAAAATGATGATTTACAATCCTTGATTATCCAGGTAGGGTGCGCGGATTGCGCCAGCTTGGTCATGGGACTCCAGTCTCATCCGAGCTCATTGCTGTGAGAAAATAAAACTAAAATGTAAAAAAGCTGAAAACACATCCTCTGATTGCTCAGGGAATTTTCTTAGTCATACGTTATCTTTCCTAGTAGTTTAAGTTATTTTGTCTCCACTAAAACCCAAAGCAAAACAGTGCCCTGACACTTTCCCCTTGATTTCTGATCTGCAGCAGCCAAATTTATTTTTATCTCGTGTCGTCTTTTCCCCTATGGTTATGCAAATCCTCAGAATAGGGGGCAAGGGGAAGAGCTAATTTTAAAGTCAGTAAATTCCAGTGGAAGATTTCTTCAGTCGCTCCGAGCGGGACTATCCTGGGTGCTGTTGCAGAGCTGTGGCTACCTCCAAATAACACAGGGGTAGGTGCCAAGTGGGGAGGCTGAATATTTTCCTTGTAGACACATAACTTTGCCCACAGGATTGAAGTCTCTTGCCTTAATGCTCTGTTAAGCTTCTCTGCAAGTACAAAGCTGTCTTAGGAGGCACACGTTGGTGAAACGTATCTCTGTACAACCGGCTGCTGAATATGACTTCTGTGTGGAAAGGGTTTGGTGGTAGGTGAAGGTGAGACTCCTGAGAAATATCTTAGAGAAAACATGGGACACCAAAACCTCATTGCTCCTTCCAGCAATCTTTCTCTGTTTTTGTTAGCACGTGCTATATTTTGATATATTTTTTGTCTTTTTATTTTTTGTCTTTTTCATTCCCCACCCCCTGCAAGAGAATTCCATTTTCTTCCAAATTTCTTTTTTTTTTTCTTTTTTTCTTTTTTTTTTTTTTTTTCCCTCAATACAAGTTTTCCTCAAATCTGTTTAATCCTATGTTTAACTCTAGTGTGCAGAAGGAGATTCTCTGTGGATTTCTAGGCTGAAAATCCAGCAAGGATTACCCTGGGGTCTGCTTTGTGAACAAACACAAGTGTACCAGTGTGTATATACAGGTGTAGGAACTGAAATGCTAACTGCTCTGTGTGCTTTACCAAAATCATTGGAGGTAATCAGAGTATGTGGCATGTGTAACAGCTTCCTACCAGCGCTGCGCTTTTGTTCAGCATGCTGGTGCTGGGTTAGTCAATGCAATTTGTGGTCAATGTCTGGAATCACATTCGGATCCTCTTTGCTCTTCCTTTGAGTACCATTGCAATACTCATTACTGCAGTGAATTAACCAGAGTCAGGAAACTGCTGTGGGGCCTCAAGTTTCTGTATCCAGCAAAACACATAAGCCTCTCCTGGTATGGTGTGTCAAGGGGCCGTAAGTGTATCTTTCAATGCTGGGTAAATTGGAAAGAGTTTAAATATCCATGTAGGCCTTTGTCTGTTTTGGGGAATGGAAGATGAGGATGTGAATATTTATGAAAATAAAGTAATTTAGGTGCAAGGTCCCAGGTTTGGAAAATTTGGCCCATAAAATACGTGCACTAGGGGTGCTTGTGGTTGCATAAGATAACAAAATTCACCAGTTGTTTGGATTAATCTCCCAGGCTACTTCTGGGACATATTGTTTTCACATTCGTGTAGCCTGATTAAGCTGCATATGAATTTATGTCCCAGTCTTGCAACCTAATAAACCTATACGATTTAAAATGCGTGACAAGGGCTATAGGGTTTGATGTGTAAATTCTGCTTACATGAGGCACTGTGTGCATGCCTGCCTCTCCGCAGAAAGAGCTGAATGCATCCCATGTCAGTCCAAGAATGAACTACATGTCTGAATGCCAAAATAAGTAGAATAAATAATTTGTTTCATATATGTGTTTGGGAGCTCTCAACCTAGATGCTCCCTTCCAAAAATTCAGCTCTCCATTTGCAAATTCTCTGGAAGTACAGTTTTTGTTCAAACTTTTGGAGTCCCTTTGATCTGGCTGGAAATTAGAGCACATCAGGCCTTGTACGTAATCAGAAAATGCCGTGTGAAAACAAAGACTGCTGGGAGTAGCATCTTTGTGAAATTCCAGCTAGACCAAACTCGTTCGGTGCTGTTCAAGCCCTGAGCTCACTGGTCTCATGACTATGCGTGCAGTCCGGGCTGCTTTCTGAGGGCGGCTCAGGGAAAGAGTTAAGCCTGTTCTCCTCTTCTAGTTGGCAGAAAGTTTGCAGTTTAAAATTACATACTGACTCTGGTGTAGAGACACAAGAAATTATAGAGCAGACACTGTCCAGGACAACGTATAATTTAAAATGTACTAAAGAATGTATACCACATGGCAAAGTAAGTGAAGTGCTTCTTCAAATATAAGTGTTTTGCATAGAAAGGCTGTAATTATCCACTCCTAGGGAAATGTTTGCATTCATTCTAAATCAATATTTACTATTCATCTCTTGTGTTCAACAAAACAAGGATTTAACATTTTTTTGTTTTAATGAGGTACTAAGACTACAATAATACTACAATGTAATTGTCTTGATACAAAATATTGCTAAATTGTGTTGCTATTTTGGGAGCAAGCAGTTTTTAAAAGGAGGGGTATCCCTGTTTGTGAAATGTTACTGTAGTAACACACAATCCAAGCTCAGCCAAGCAGGGAGACTCACCAGTTTCAAAGAGACGTTAAGCTGCCTCTCTCTGTTAAGGCCCTTAACTAGGATCATTCGGGTGAGTCCTCCATCTCTCCCCTTACCCCCCCGTCCTGAAAGCATCAACCTCTTTATAATGATTCCTTTTCGTCTGGCATCTCAACAACAACAACAACAAAGCTGCAATTTCTGTTTCTGGTTTTAAGGTTGCTTTTTTTTTTTTTTTTTTTTTTTTTTTTTTTTTTCCCCCAGCATCCTGCAGCAAGGCAGTGGGAGCTGGGCACAGGCAGTAATTGGGCTGCCACCATCCCCACACACTGGTTCAAACCTGCTGTTGCAAATGGAGTTGCCTGAACTTCAACCTCCTGGGAAAATTTGGGGATGTTTCCATAGGATGGTACCAGAGCTCTGTCCTTTAGCTTTTTCAAGGAACTAATCAACATTTAATGCATTTCCTGGGGATCACATAGTGAAGGAAGTGGTCCTAAAATTACATAGGGAAGAAAGGTCCTTCCTGCAGCAGGACCTATCCTGACTGAGGATAGGTGAGGTGAGAGAATCCTGGTGAGGTGAGAGAATTTGAGCAAGGTCAGAGGTTTTGGAGGAACACCACATGCAATCACAGCTTGTACTGCTGCTATACTGTGGTTTAGAGGAAGTCCTTGCAGCAAGCATCCTTCTGTTGGAATTTACCTGGCATGTCTTAAGAGCCGTATTTCTCCAATGACTCTAACTTAAAAAACAAACAAGCAAACAAACAGAACCACCATAACAAACATACTTTTGGCACTGTTGTGGCTCCATGTGAATCAAATCAGATAACTGAAAACACTTTGGTTGGAAAATCCTTTAAAATTCTTTTTAAAAAAATATAAAATTATTTTTATTCTTACATGCTGCTCACTGTACTGCAGACTCTGGCCCACCCTTTGAAACTCTAAATGGTTTCACTTCTGCTGCTAAAATTCATGGTACATATAAATGTAGGCTCTTGAGTGAATTTCAGTCTTGTATCCAAGTAGATAGCTCTGTATTTTTTTCCTATGAGTTTGAAGTCATTCTTGTTCTCCAAAAAAAAATAAAAATAAAATATATAAAATCATGCACATAACAGAGTGAATAGCTCTGAGAGAAGAGCACTCTCTTTCTCTAGCAAATGTTATTGTAACTGGTGTTTTAATTCTCCAGATATCTCTCAGTGTACAGGGTAACAAAAGGCTGTGTAGTGCCTAATCATTCAGCAGTGATCCAGGAAAAAAGCAGAAGGTTAAGAGCAAGTTCCTAAAGTCTGTAAAATCAATGGGACACTAGAAAGGGAACTGAAGTGTACCAGAAGGGACCTCTTGAGGGTCATTAAAAAAAGCAGAAACTGATTATGAACAGAGCTTTTACCCGAAGAACTGGAGGGGGCCAGCAAAACCATTCTGCTGCACTCCAGTTAAATGTCTAATAGTGGAGACATTTTCTGTACAGCCCATAAAGGATAATGAGGACGGCTTTGATAGCTTTCAAGAAAGTTGTTCTTGTCAGTGTTCACAAAAACATGATCTGAGCATGCACTTGGAGCACACAGGCTATGGTGACTGCACATAGACTGTGAAAGGGAAAATGGTAACCCACTACTGTGCCTTTCACCTCTGTAATATGCCCTATTTATTATGCATGAAAAAAAAATTATATCAACCTAACTATGCCATGTAAGTGGTAACAGTGAGGAAGCTTGGTGTTATGCTTACCAACTTGGTACCTCACCTTGATGCTAAGTGGGATGCGCAGAAAGGTGCCAGTGTCGGGTGATCTCATGTATATTATCTTAGATTCATATCTCTCTTATTCCAAAATAAATGAGAAATAAGATCTTGACCTAAAGCTTATTGAAATTGGTCATCATCAGCAAAATTTGGATTAACACCTAATAGCTTTCTGTTCAGTTTCTGTTCAGTTTCTGCCCTGGGAAAGCAACCCACTGAAAGCCTAAAACACGGCAGTGGGAATAGAGATGTTTGTGCTCTTCCTGTTTCTGACCCTGAGCCTCTGTGAAATTTTGGGTGAGTCACAGTTTTTTTGTGATTCATTTTCCCAAACAGTAAAACTAGTACAAGCTCACATATCTTACTGGGATACTCTAAAAATTATTTGTCCAAAAAAAAAAAAGTTTGAGATGCTATTGGGACAGTTTTAGAAGTTCGGGATTGTATTGGTCACCTTAAAAAATAAGGAGCTGGTTCTGTTTTTGTACTACAGGGCTGTTGTGTTGGGGAAAAACACCAGAAACAATTATAGTAAAAAATAACTATTTTTTTTTGGTACTTCAGAAGAAAGAAACCTTTTCTGTAGAAATGGATATTCACAGGAATGAACCAAAATGTGAGTCAGTCTACCACCGGTGAAGCTGAATTGTGAAATATTTGTGTCATTGCTCTGTGATTCCAACTATCTTCAATTAATAGAAAAAATGCAGGAAATTCAGGTGGAAGGAATGCATGGAAATTGAAGTCAAAGAAAATATTCGTTGTGGCCTTGGCAAAGTGAATTTTCTAAGCTGAAGTAGCTTTTAAGCAATTAGCATCTGCTGAGTGCAATTACTGTGTGACACGCAGCCCCAGATGGAGGGCTTGAACAGCCAGCGGCCATCTGGATTTTGGTCTTTGCACAGGGAATGCTCTGTTCTGGCTCTCACCTGGTTTGTGAGACAGCTCTCCCTCTGCCCTGTGTGGCACAACCAGCCTTGAGTCATGTTGGGGGAGACCAGTGAGATGGTTCCTCCACCTATGTGAGATCCAAAGCTTCCTGAAGTCCCTGGAGGGATTATTACTGATGATGTTGACCTTTGAGTTGGTGCTTTGCCCCTAGTTTTCCAAAATGAGGTAAGTTACTGGAATAAAATCTACTTCTGAACCATAAGTGGCTTGATACACTCTGGTCTCCAGTGGGACATATGGCTTGGGAGACTTGGCCTCTGAAATTGCACATAGAAAATCAGCTCTTAAAGAGAGAATGTTATCAACGGGCTTTTGTACTATTATTATTATTATTATTATTTTTAATGCATTGGTAAAAGATATCAGACCCATCCACAAAGAGAATTCCTTGAAGTAATCCAGTTTTTAAAGTGAAGCTATAGTTTAGTTCGTGAAAATCAAAGAGTAAAAATCAACTGACAACGGTTTCTGACTACTCTGTATCTAAAAACGGGCCAACCTCATCTAGTCTATTTAAAAATTGTGTATCCATACTGTTTGTATGCCAAGTTCAGCATGATGGAAATGAAAATGGTTGAGGTATAAACCCTTGGAAAACAGGGTTTATAATGGAAACAGTAATTGACTTTTAACTACCGCATCAAAAATACAATACTATAATACAAAGCCTAGCTCTTGGGATCCCAGCTCTACTTCTAACCTCAGGTTGGCAGAAAAACACCTCACCACAAAGCTAACTAATGTTTATAGTTTTTTTTTTTTTTTTTTTTTCTTGCAAAAGGAACATGGCAAGTGAAGAAAATTTATAGGAACAAAGCAAAATTGGCAAACAGTTCAAAAGTTCTCTCTTGTAAGTTTTTGGTGTTTTTCCCAATCACTGATTCTCTCAGCTCATAAGACTAAGAGGAGATGCCATTCTTCTTCCCTGGATGAATGCTGTGTTTTTCTGATAATTTTAATCATGAAGCTTGAATCAAAACTGAGCCTTCCTCTCAGCTTTACAAATAGTTTGACTGTTCCTCCAGAGGTCACAGACTTGGTTATCCTGAAAGGAGAAGATAAAAAAGACAAAATTCTTTACAGCTGTTGATTTCTCCTTCCCTGTGTGACCATGGATAGCATAACAGGGAAGAGAGAAGAAATGGTTCTGGGAATGGAGCAGAGTAAATCTTCTATTGTCACCTTTGCTTAGTCTGAGCTGGGGTGCCATTTCTGCTGCCAGTTATAATTGTCATGATATCATGACACGTTGGGTTAGGCTGAAAGTACCAGTACCAATTCTCTTTAGGGGCTGAAAAACATGGAAGATCAGGAAGTTTATTGGAGGACTGCCACTAAGCCATGGTTGAAAAAGGTGGACTGTTCCATGGACTTGTGAAATAAGAATGAATACTGCAAGATCTGCATACATTTTTTAAACAAATAAAAGAAAGAGAAATTCCATGGAGATAAACGTGCTTTAATATTTCTTGTTTCTCTGTGTATCAGTATATAATCAAGTTCATATTTTAATAGGTAATGAAGAAAAGCAGAGAACAAAGCAGGAACATTTTATGTCCATACATGGCTTTAGTTCAACTACAGATTAAGAAAATAAATGTATTTGCTTTGCTTTGCTTTAGGTATTGAAGATGATATACTGCCATAATCTTAGATTATGATGAAGCTGCACTTTCACTTCTGCCAGTATCACTTGCTGCACTCATTCAGCTGCAGAGAGACTCTGCTGGAAGGAAAGACCATGTCCAGGGTCCCTCATCCCTGTGCCAGGATGCACAGGAGGGCTTCCAGGTGAGGTGAATGATGCTGGGAGAGTTGTAGGTTAGCATCAGCATCTGCTGTAGGCCTTTAATGCTGCCATTCCTTTTCAGATTCCTTTTTATTTGTGAGTTGTTCAAATCCAGACTCTTCCAAATCAAGCTCCTGACACCATTTATATCCGTATGAGAAGAGTGGATGTGCCAAAACAATAAAAAGACGTTGTAAGTTTTTTATTCATTCTTCCTGTAGCTTCTGAGTTCATGGAAAATGCTTGCAATAGATTACTCAATGGGCGATAGCTGTGATAGCGGTTGCAACAATACCAACAGGGTGCGAGGCTAAGCAACTCAAAGGTCTGTTGATGATACCTGTTAGTGCACATATGTATGCTCAAAATGAAGAAAATAGGTCATGTATAGAACAACTATTTTTAGGCAAATTTTCCAGTATTTTTTCTCTTGTCATTTTTTCCCTTGGGTATGGAACACCCTTCACTGCAAACTATCTTACTGATGTCAGTGTGAAGAAGACCTGGTACCTAATGCAAAAGACTATTGCTAAAGTCCTGGAGTGGAGACAACTTACCTTTACTGGCATTCACGTCTTTACTCAAACACAACTCCATTTGAAAATGATTAGGAAATTGCCGGTGCAAATACCAAATAAAGACTTCAAGTATTGGCCCTTTATGATGAGTGATTTATGATTTATACTTTAAACTGTATAAGGTATGCATTTCTATTCAGATTTTGAAAAACAAGCCGGGGGGGGGAAAAAAAACAAAACACAATAGCTTTGTGAAAAATATATACAGTCATGGAATTTCAGTACAGTCTTTGGAAAAGGATCAAATAATGATAAGGCTTGGCTCTATAGGGATATTAACATTTTTAAAGAAATCAATGTGAAATAATTTTGAGAATGTATGTATGTTTAAATTATGAAAAAATACAGCATGAATATACATTTTGTTGTTAACTGCTCCCTGTTGTTTTGGGCACTTGTCCTGCTTTAGTACAAGTTTTGAGGAGGAAAAAGCTGACTGGAGCACAAGCTACATTTCAAGTCCTATTTTAGTCTTATTTGTGATCATGGATTTCCTTATTTTTCTTATCATTTTTTTTTCTTTGATTTGCTTTTCTAAGGGTATTATCTAGCTCAGCTTGGCACAGTTTGAGTGCACAACTACAACCTTTTCCATGACCCAAAAGTCAGTGCCACTCTGTGGGCTGGCAGTTTGCAAATAAAACTTATCCTTAATGAAGTGTGGAAGCTCCTGTTCTTTTCCTTCCTCGGGAGACGTGCCTTAATCTCTGGCTCAGAGCCTTGTCAAATGCTGCAGTAAAGAACTGGCAAGCTCAGTGCTGCTAATGGATTGAAATCTCCACCAGGTTGTTCATTTTTAATATTTTTGGGAGGGGCCTTTTTTTTTTTTTTTTTTTTTTTTTTTTTCTCCCCTCAATACTGTGGCAGACACAGTTCCAGCCGTCAGTCTTCTGAAATAATAGGTTAGGGAAATTAGTGACAACTCTATGGTACATGTAAGAGAAATGTATATTGTGCCAAAAAGTATCAAGGATTTGGTCTCTTATGTAGGTCAATTATTAAGGGAAAAAATAAGATTAAAACCAGGGGCTGTTCTGTGTATTTGAAGTTCGTCCTGAAGATATAAAATTGTGGTGTTTATGCTTATAACTTTTGACAGGTTCTCTAAGTCATAGGCATTTTGTCTCTTCTATAGTAGAAGCTGAAAATGTTTAGATTTTTTTTTCTTTGTGCCAGAAGGTAACCATAAGCTTCTGAATCACATCTGAATTGCTTGACAATGCTAAAATGCACTATTGGAAATTTTGACTGTCTCTTGTATTTTTTCAGAATATGTTAGGCTAATATTGGGATTAGGGTGGCTCTTCCTAGTTCTGGCATAACAAGAGAAAACTGCATTTTTCACATTTCGGATTGTTTTCTTATTACAGAGATGTGCTATGCAGTCTCAGCTTGACTTTTCTACTGACACTGTTTTTGTGCAGCTGAAGACCTCTTAGCAGGATTTATGTCTTCACAAAACCCTTTTGAATCCAGAAATTCAGACTGGCCTCAGATAGGGTGCAAGAAGTTATGCACCTTTGCAGTGTGTTTTACAATAATATGTACTGAAACCTGTTGTTTTTCAGAATTTGTGAACTTTAAGACCAAGAAAAAAAAAAAAAAAAAGAGAGAGAGAGAGAAGGAAGAAAGGAAAAAAAGCATTTGTATATTCGCTCATGCTAGAGGCAGGAATTTGTAGTGTTCCTTTAATCGCTGTTAACCTGGTTCTGTCAATGTCAATAACTCTGTGACATCTTGGGAGGAGGAAAACCCATGGGCTGATGGGTACCAAAAGCAGTTCAGTGCTAAAACATTATCAAATAATGTATGTGAGGTAGTGGTGTGTTCCGTGTCATTGTGCCGGAGAATTGCTGGTATGATTATACTCATTTGAGACATAGGGGCTCCTTGAGAGAAGACAGGCTGCCTTCATGGCAGGATGGACGGAGGGAAATGAAAAAGAGGCGTTTTCGTACCACTGCATTTTCATAGGCCCTTGCGTGTTACTGGCTGGGAACTTGGTGCAATTTATCCACCGAGCAGATGGGAAACCATGTTGGTACACCGCCTCAGTGCAATTTTGGTCTGTCTGGACTTTCAGGCAGAGCTGTAGTAGTCAGGGTCTTCCAGCAAGGAATTTATGTGTGTTCCTGATGGTTTTATATATATTCCACCAGCACCTGTAAAATATGATCTCTTTATATAATAAATGCTTCTCAAAAGCTCTTTAGCTACAAAGACTGGATCCTCACCTGGTGTAAATCAGGAAATGCTCTCTGAGAGCCTGGCCAAGTACATTGTGAATATTTAATGTAAGCAGAGAGCAAAGCCTCTGTTTCTGCCAGATCAAAATGTTTGTATGCTGCATTTAATCTGGTGTTTTCCATAGAATTACTTTGCACCTATGGAAAGTACTGAAATACTGGAAAAACTAATCTTCTTGAAATATTTTCATCAGTAAGGATGGTATGACCTGCTTTGGAGGACCATGGAGACCTCATGTCTTGTTATTTCTGCTCCTCATAGGATTTCATTAAGGAAGATGTGTGAACAGAGTCCATATGTGCACCATTGCACATAGATGGTCTAGAACCTGTACATCATCTCTGCAGCTGTCCAGGTTGCAGATTGCTTAAAAATACTTCTGAGCTGCCTACTAGAAGTGGTTTGCAATCTATAAGGACAATAGCTAGATTTAGGATATACATGTAAAATCGCATATAAGAATTGACCAAGCTGTGATATGTCATGTCAGTACAGTGATTTTTTGGAGGAAAATTTTAAAAATATATCTTTTCTTAAAGGTTGAATTTTATGTTAAAAATGTGCATTTCCAGAATGATTTGAAAGAATAGTGAAAGACATCTGAGTCCTTGGGATTAAAAGGAAATATGTACAGGATCTCAGAGACAGGAACCATGGGAGCTGGAGAGGAAAAGCATGGGAAAAGGCATGAGGGGAGAAATTAAAATCTAATTTGTTCAAGGATGGACTAAAGAAATTAAATCTAATATTAAATCTAACAACTAATAGAAAAGGACTTCAGGAACTGCTGGATTTGTGTGTAATGCTTTGCTGCTGGATTTCGGATGAATGACTCTGGACTTCAAAGTGCTGTCTGGACCTTGTACCACTGAAGGGTATCATCACACAGTTTTTCTCTCCTCTACCTGCACAGAGTTTGATTAGTAGTGAAGGCCCAAAGTGACTAAGACATGTATTAATGTAAGGCCTCCAGTTGTAAATCAATATTTGAAATAAATGATTTTAGCTATTCATTATGGAAACTTCACTCTGAAAATAATTATAAGTCTAAAAGTGAAAGTGAGATTTAAGTCCTGTGTTGATCTGCAGAGAATTGGCAAGCAGTGTACATACTTAATCAGTCACACTGTAGCTTCCATGCTTAAGATGGAGCTTGCAACTTGTTTGTTCTGAGAAATACAGTATATTCATTCATCATGTTAATTCAAATTAGGGCATCTGAGGAGTAATGACAACCTTATTTTGCAAGATTATTTGCAATGATTTAAAGAATGTACCTGCCAACATGAAAAATCAGTAAATCTGATTGTGGCATGTTCAACAAGAGATCAACATGCCAAGTTTTGTACAATGCAAAATATCAGAATCCTACAGAGCAGCTCATACTTGCTTGTCCAAAATTTGCATTAGCATTTGAAACTTTCAATTTCTTCTTTATAAGGAAGATTCTTTGATAAATTTCTGTTATATTTATCTCACTAAATAGCAACAGTCATCCACTGCACTGGAAATTTGGGTTGTATCAGAGCTGCACTAGAAATCAATGTGTTAATTACTAAATTATTTTAGAAGATTTTTTTTTCTTTCTTAAGAAGAAACAAAGTTTTATTATTATTCCAGCTTTTGCAGAACCATATGTTTCCTTGATACTTAAAGCTACTTACATCTATCTTCCTTACCGAATTTCAATGTTACCTTTTATAACATACAGATCCCAATTGAGAAGAACATACACTGGCTATGGCAATAGTTACTGTTTTTCTCTCTTATATAGTTCTTACATGGTCCCATTAGCAGTTTCTCCTGCACCTCCTCCTTCTCAGAATAATAAAAAATAAAAATAAAAAATAATTAAAAAAAAGAAATAACGATCTTGCTCTTTTTCTCCCTTCCAAGTAGGTAGGAGAAAATTGCTTGATTAGATTATAGGGTCTGTATATGTGTATAAAGAATTTATTGTGGGAAATCTATATTAGTGCCAAAACGATTAATGTTAATTAATGTTCCCAAGTTTAATAACAAAAGAATTAATAGTGAACAGCCACTTACTATAAAGTGTTTCCTTGACATTTCTTGCTAAAAATAAAGATTCTGAGCATGTCACATAGATTTTGGGAAAGAAGTAAAAGAAAGATTAGGTAAAGAAAACATCTCACTGTAATTTAAACCATTATTTGTCTGACAGCTTTTTATCTCCTGTCTGGAAGAAATAAACATATTAAATTTTTTATTAAAATAGTTAGGCTTTGTAAGGGTATTTTTTCCCAGTGCAATAATAAATATTTATTTCTACCAGAAACAAAGAAGCTTGTCTATGAGGCTTTTACTGATGCTTAGCCAAAGGTATGAGTCTTTTAACTAATAAATA